AACACAGAGAAATATTTCCATTATATTTAATATGGTTATAAATACTCATTCATTGTTCGATCCCGAGAAAGTTCATCCAGATTTTCCAGCGTGGTTCTCCCTTGTCAGTGATACAGGACGGAGAGCCTGACAAGGACAGTTGTCTAGTCGTTCGGATGGTACGAAAAACCGAGGTCCCGTTTACACATTGGCGTGCACGTAAAATATCCCTTGGCAGTTGAAATTCGACATAAGAGTAGGCCGTAGTGCCGCTGTACGGGCAAAATTTCCCTCATAGTACACTGCATGGCGTATGCCCGTCTTCATTAGTCCAATTCGGAACAGAACAGTAGGACGTTAAACCTCATTTCACTATTTTAATCTGTTTTAAATCAAGCACCAACTAAAATTTCCCGATGAATTCGATTCGCTGATCATTGCAATACAAACTAAAATAATTTAAATATTGCTGTCTGGAATGCGACGCAATTATGTTGAATATAATTATAGTGTGTTCAATCAAAATAACAGCGGCAAATAATAATTCGATTGGTCGTGACCATCTTTGGCGGGGTAAGGTAATCTGTAGTTACTTTAGTTACGTTAGCTGCTCTATACCTCTCGGTTCTAAGGCTATTTTGGGATCCTTACCGTCTATTTTTCACCGTGAGTCTTCTTTGATCGCCAAAAGGAATCATTTCTTGCCACATCCGACACAAATTTATAAAAATCCAACACTATTTTCATGTAGAATTGTGCAATACAAAAACAAAAACAACTTTCATTTGAATTGGTCGCCATTATCAAACTCACGCTCAACCATATTCCAATTTCAGGAATTGAATTTTACCCTAAACGACAATTCGTGCTGTACATGGTCACTAACGTTTTTTTATTGAACATATATGAACAATTATTACATAAAATCTATAAAATAGAATAACATATTATATTGACCATTATAAAATATTTTAAATATTCTATGTGTTATTCTCATGTACATCACGATTTTTCGTTTACGGTAGTAGAGAGCAGAGCCGATACAATACGTTACTAAAGTTACTAGGTAATCTGAAAAGTGGAATGAGCCCAAACTTTCAACAAAAGCATCGCTAACGTTGCGATAGACGTCCACATTCCTGCTTTGATTGATATGTGTTACATAATCAGATTATCTGATGTTAAAGACGCTTCCTGCCAACTTGACACCTGTTCGTTATCGACATGCCTGAAGTTCTTGGTCTATGTGATTATGTAATGATTATGTAAACGTTAACTTGCTGCCATGTTTTATTTAAACTTTCTTTGTCTGATTAGCATGTATCGAATGTAAACTTGATATGATACATTAGCCAGATGCCTAATAAGATCCAGTGATCCAGTATCCCAGTTATCCAGTGTTCCAGTTATCCAGTCTTCCAGTTTTTCCAGTCTTCCAGTTACCCATTCACCATGGACCCGATAGTAAAAACCTACCAAGTGCCAGAAGAAGAGACAAGCCGCATATCATACCACGTGGCGGTCAGCAGCACGGAGAGATTAACCGACAGGGGAATCTTGAAGTGCCTGATCGACCTACTCGGCAAGTGGGAAGACATATTAACAATCTACCTAAAAGAAGACGAGTGGCACATCCATGTAAGAACGAAAGAAGTAAAAAGTAAACTCCTCGATAAAGGGAAACACACGCACATGGGGATAACATATCAGTTCCACAAACGTTTTACTAAAGTAGTCACCCTTACAGTCTACGACTTCCCTGTATCATACTCCGATGATTACTTCCTAGAAATTATGGGTGACATCGGACATGGGAGAACCTTCCAAGACCAACAACTCCCAGGCACCCATGTCTACAAAAGAATAAAAGAAGTGGAAATAGAGATCCAGAACAAGAAATTCAAAGATATACCCCAAGTAATAGTATTAAAAGCACATTACGGAGATGCCAAAGTACGAGTAGTAACACCAGGCCAACCTTCTCCATGCTTCAGATGCGAGAAGTTTGGCCGTTCACGAAGAGAATGCCCTCTCCGGGCCCCTGAAAAAGACAAGAAAAAGAAGACAGCTCCAATAGTCCCAACAGTCCCACCAACCACAGTAAAGACAGTACAAAACAGCAAGCCAACAGTTCCAGAAAATAAACCACCAGTAACCCAGTCTCCACCAGTCGAACCAAAAGCTCCAAAAAGAAGAAGAGAGGATGGAGCCAGATCAACATCAGAAAAATCAGACTTTGAATTTTCTAAACCAAGACCCCCTCCATTAAAGATAAACGAAAGTAATATTGAAATACAAGAATGCAGCTACCATCCCTCTACGTCAACACCTCGCGACATAAGTTTTGATATTAATATCCACAGTATAATCAGCAACAATAGCACATTCGACGACTAAAAAAAATATATATAACACGTGATTGTCTGCGATATCACTTCGGTGGAAGCGGACGTAAAATACAACTAACTCATCAACAAATAGAGAGAAAGGTCCAGGCAGGGCATGAGAGCAGGCGGAGGCTAGGCGACGTCTGGTAGTTAACTCCAGGCCAGGCAGGTTTGGAGTTAAGACCGGACAACGGCCAACTAATGTAATTTAGTCCTGGGTGTCTTTAACATTACGATGTTTGTACATAATATGTTAGAAGCAGAATAAAAGTATTAATAGAAGCTGAAACTAGTCTTGTCATCCGAACCTGATAAAAGAACTAATATTGTCACATATTAATTGGCGCCGCTGACCAGAGCAACGTTTGAAGTCCACCACTAGAAGACCACAGGCCACAGATATTAGTCTACACGGGAAAGTCTTTTTCTAATCCTACCTTGGCCGGTTAATAATGACATTGTGTTATAATGTATTATAATTTAACTGGGAAATCAGCAGTTTATCATCACGCTTTATTAAATATCATGGTGTAGTTACTTAATTTAATATAACGTCCAAGCTAGTAGTGGAACAGTCCTTATCTATTTGTAGGAAAATGACTAAAACAAAATTGTATATATATTGTTTGTTTTACAATGGGTCAAGTAAAATGTTTTGTGATTGTTTAACTAGAATTGGGTTAACAGTATCGTAATTTGAAATTTAACCCAATAACATTCACACAATATTACCGCGTTTATCTCTAAGGTTTTTTATTTGTTTTGTCTATACGTGTATATTACCCCAAGTGTTAATGGGATGGCCCGATATTTACGGGAAAGATTTTATTCGTGTTTAACGTAGTACCCCAAAAGTTAATGGGATGACCCGATATGTACGGGAGAGATTTTTTATTATTTTTATTTTGTGATACCCCAATAATATAGATTGGGAGGTCCCGATATGTTACGGGAAAAGGTTTATGTGAAACCCCAGTCAGGTGGCATTGGTTTAACCCCAGGAGAGGGTCGTGCTCAGAATTAGGAGCGAACGTATTGTCTTGTTTTGTGTTGTGTTTAACAATTATAGAGATAAACCGTTATTAATTTTGATAAGTTCTTTCAAAATATCTTATTGAAGATTGGTAAAATGTGTTCAGAAAAAAACAAAACAATATGACATCCTAATTTCAATTCTATCCATGTAAATAATAATGTAAATATCGTTAGATAGCTAATTAAAGTCTGTTCCACTTGCTAATTGGATTAACTATTAATTAAGTTCACTCCATGATATGATAAACAGATGATAAAACTTTCGCATGGGTGGCAGTTATAATACTCTTCATAGCACATGTCGCACCGTTCCGGCCAGGCGGTATGGGAAAGATAAGACTACCGGAAGACACTGACCCCTTGCCATTACGGGAAACTTATACAATAAGAAGACGACGGAGTGAAGGAAGAAAAAAAATGAATTTGTATCTCCCTACAGTTGACTTCAAGGATTGTATTTCGCGCTTCTCGAGTGTGTGCGAACATTAGAATAGTTACAGTGGGTTTTTTTTGTTATAATTATTAGTGATTCCAAATAACTCGCGTGTGTGCGAATTCGAATATTTTTCATTATATATACGATTCCAGGAACACGTGTGTGTGAACAGTAAAATTATTTGCGACATAATTATGTGATTTCAATGTCTCGCCTGTATGAACACTATAGTATATATGTATGAACTTTTCAACCAGTATCTTATTACTTTTCAACCAGTGTTTTATGCTTTTGCCATTTGCATTTTCTTTTTTGTTTATATAACTTTTAATCAGCGTATTGTTATTTTTCGTATTTTTGTTTATATATTAATTAGGGTAGTTACCATCGACTCCATTTATATTTAATTTTGTAATAATCTTTCAAAGTTATTTCATATAATTCATAACTTTATTCAAAAAAAAGGGAAGGTATGTTACATAATCAGATTATCTGATGTTAAAGACGCTTCCTGCCAACTTGACACCTGTTCGTTATCGACATGCCTGAAGTTCTTGGTCTATGTGATTATGTAATGATTATGTAAACGTTAACTTGCTGCCATGTTTTATTTAAACTTTCTTTGTCTGATTAGCATGTATCGAATGTAAACTTGATATGATACATTAGCCAGATGCCTAATAAGATCCTTTGTTTGAAAGGGTTTATAAACCCAGATTAAGAAACAAATAGAGAGAAGTCCAGGCAGGGCATGAGAGCAGGCGGAGGCTAGGCGACGTCTGGTAGTTAACTCCAGGCCAGGCAGGTTTGGAGTTAAGACCGGACAACGGCCAACTAATGTAATTTAGTCCTGGGTGTCTTTAACATTACGATGTTTGTACATAATATGTCAGAAGCAGAATAAAAGTATTAATAGAAGCTGAAACTAGTCTTGTCATCCGAACCTGATAAAAGAACTAATATTGTCACATATGGTACTTTTTAAAATGAAGAGAATAAAATATGAAATGTCTGTAATATGGCAAGAGGCAAAGAAGGCTAGGCGTTGGGTTTGTTTTGCCAAATTTACAGACAAAATATTAACAAAAAAGTGGGTGTGACACTGACCGAGGGGGTCGGGGCATGCACTAAAATAAATAATTGCTGTCTTTACAGGTATAAGGAATAAATATGCAAATTTCCAAGATGATCCATTCAGAATTGCAGCCTGTAGACGATAAGTACAACAACTGGGATCTGCCCCTGCGGGGTTGGATATGGAACAATATAAATAGGTACCACCCTGTTATTGAAATAATTGATATGCTCAATTTGAACAAAATCTGTTAATTATTGCAACCTGTATAAAGTATTTACCGATAAAAACTAACAAGAATCCTGGCCTGTAGGCAACACACAGAGACACAAAGAAAAAATAGGTGTGACTCTGTCGCTGGGGATTGGGCAATCACAAAAAAAACCCCAAAAAACTATAGGGGGGCATCCTTAGGGTATTAGGAATAGGTATGCAAAGTTTCAAAAGGATCTGTTAAGAACTGCGGCCTGAAGGCAAAACACAAGACACACAAACACTGAACGTCGCTCTGTCCCAGGGGGTCGGGCATGCACCAAAAACAATAGGGATCATCCTTAGGGTATAAGGAATTCATATGAAAATTTTTCAAGACGATCGATTAAGAATTGTGGCCTGTACGCGACACACACACAAAAAGAAAAGTGTCGTGGCTCTGCCCCTGGGGGTTGGGCATGCACCCCGAACGATAGGGGTGTTCCTTGGGGTACAAAGAATAAGTATGTAAAGATGATACGTTAAGAAATGCGGCCTGTGGACGACAAACAAACAAATAGAGAAAATGGGCGTGACTCTGCCCCTGGGGTCGGGCATGCACCAAAAACAATAGGGATCATTCTTAGGGTATAAGGAATAAGTATGTAAAGTTTCAAGATGATCACTTAAGAATTGTGGCCTGTATGCGACACACACACAGAGACAGGGGTGACGGCAATATAGATGTCTCACTACACGCTGTGGTAGGGTGACCCACCATAAATAAATATCTCCATATATCTCGACAATTACGCCACAATATTTATATATATGCCAAGCCTCAAATCAGTTTCACACAATTATAGTCACTAAATAAACGATCATGTTGTACTTAATAAGCTATGACCATTAATCATGTATAAATAATAGACTGAAAACTGGTTCCAAGAGTCGTCCATAACATCCAGACACTTTTGAGTAAAAGATAGGTTACGTGCCCTTGTTTTGAAATTAGTCTCGCTTAACCAGTCTATCGACCATTCTACGTCTGATTGACAGGTCGGGATAATCAAGACTACTTTTTTACGAAACGTAACAGAAAGCTAGAACAAGAAATTGAATTTAGAAATAAGCACGTTAGGTAGCTCAACAATCGTTTTAAGAAGCTTGTAAAAGTAAAATGAAACTACTGCTAGTATCATGTTCCTGCCTAACCCGAGTGATTCAGAGATATTATTTGTACTAAACCAAAAGATGCCGCTCTTAACCGTACAGTTAATGATAAAGCGATTTCAAAAATGAAACGAACGTAATTTCTAAATCTGCTGTAATAACCAAGAAGCTTAATTTAACTGCTATTCAAAATCGTCAACAATAAATTTTTTACGGCTGTATTAGTTGATAGATTTGTAGAGAATTGCACGTGCCATGGCTATTTATAGTATCATACTGTCAGAAAGTTGGTCTCGGCACGGCGAATGTGCACGCTTCAGTGGTAGTCTCGAACTATCAGCGGTGGACTGTATTTCTGTGAGTACATGGGTCATCCTAGCTGTGGGATTGTTTGCGAATGGTTTTGAATTGCCTGTGCCAACTCTACAACAGTTCGTGGTGGCACGGCTTGCGTTGTGGTGTGTTGTGTAGATACCCCTGATTTGCGGTCCATTGCTGTCTGGCAAGTCGATAAGGTCAATGGCAGCGTAACTCAAAAGTTATAGTAGCTGTAGTCGGAAGTGGCGATCTTGAGCAGCGGTTGTTACAGGTGGCGCTCCAGGTCGGGGTCGATCGGCAACTTTTCCAGTGGTGTGGAAGCGTTGTCTGAGGCGAGCAATGGTCGAGGGTGGACATTAAAGTGTCTGGCGACGGCTACCTGTGCAGCCCCCTGATCCAGCATGCCAATAGCTCTGTTCCTGTTTTCTTGTGTGGCATTTTTCCGAAGTGATGAATGTTGAAATTAATTTTGATCTGTACAGGGAATGCACGTGCAAAATGTGTGACATGGGACAGCTTAAAATCGTGAAAAAAGACAAGTGTTGCGTTTGCACGAACAAAGTTCATTACCGAGTGTTTCGAACCAAGAATTCCACAAAAAGAGACCCATCACACGTTTCACCCATGTGCCATAAGATAGGAAAGCCCAAGAAAATGTTTACCAGAAATATTTCACGAATTAAGCATTGCCTTTTTAATGGCTTTGAGTATATAATACTGATAGCATTACCAAAAGAGAGAGAGAGAGAGATGGGGTTCATTCGACACAAACTAGGTCATTTCGGGACTATTTCATTAATTCGCTTACGCGTATGGTTCTTTAGCAGTAGGAGGAAACTGGAGGACCGGAGAAAACCCACGAGGTTGGACAGGCGACCCTTGTCACGTACATCCGGGGAGCATTAACAAGAGATGACATGAAATTGGATTTAACCTCGTACTATTTTCCACTACAGGGCTAATGAAGACAAGCATACGCCACGTTGTGTTCTACGAGGGAGTTATTGTCCTGGCAGCGGCTTTTTGGTGAAATCTTCACTGAATTCCAACTTCCAGGGGTTCTTTTACGTGCACACCAATCAGTACATGACTGAACGTCGGTTTCGCTTCCCACCTGCACGACTAGATGCCTTTGCCTTGTCAGGCCCTCCGTCCTGCACCACTGGTTAGAGGACACCAGGATGGACACTCCCTAGGGACTTTCTTGGTCTACAACGGGATCGAACCGGGGATACGTGGTTATTGAGCTAGCCCCGAAACCACTGGACCATCCAGGAGACAGAATAAACCTTGTCAATTCAATAAAAAAAAAAACCACTTAGCTTTCTAGGACAATGTCTTTCTTGTATACCTTACATATTTTCTATTTTTTTTTCAGGTTGCTTCGAATACGAAACTAAAGGTTCTGGCTGTTTTAATGATTGTTTTCATTTGCATCGTTATAGCGATTAATAGGACGAAAACAAAAATCAAATTGCCTGAGTATAGATCACGTTTTGTATCCAGTGCTTCAATAATTCAAGAATGGCCAGGACTTAAAGATTATGAAGTTAGCTATGGAAATAAAACCCTTCCCAAGATTCATCTGATTTGTACACTGCCTCTATTGACGTATAAAGATGTGAGCTCTTTCAGTTATAAGGGAGCTAAATCTCTTCAAATTCAAGAACGGATGTCAGAATTGTTAACCGGGCTACAGAGAAATCTGAACCATAAATGCGTGACTCGAGTCTACTTCCTGTATAACGAACAAGACGTTGTGGACTTTGTCAAAACCAACATCCAAACGAATAAAAAAAAATTATCTTTTAATCTTGTTAGCGATCCGCGTAATCAGACGGTCATCTTTGATTTCGCTTATGATAATCTGCGGGGAAAACTAGTGTCGTATACCTCGGCGGATGTTTATTTTGGAGAAGGATTTGAATTAATCAATAAACAACGGATGGTTTCGAACAAGTTGATGTATATCCTCAGTCGACATGGCCGACAAGAAAAATACTGTGACATGCGCACAGATTCACAAACCAATGCATGTGATGCTTATAAGGGCTCCCATGATACGTATATTTTTGTACCAACAGGAGAATTTCCTACGGCGATACGGAAACACCTAGCGGTAATGGCGCAACATTATGGCGTCGAAAACATGTCGATCTGGGCTTTTAGAAATCTTGGCAAGTTTACGGTCATAAACCCATGTAAGGTTTTAAAAACGTACCATTTACATTGTTCTCAGCTCCGTGATGCCCAGAGAAGAATGATAAATAGTTGGGACATGGGATTGGCATTGGCATATCCCACCGATGATTTATACAGTAACAGCTCGGTTATCGCCCCTTCTTTTAACATTTACGCCATTTTACTGTTTCTTAATTACTTTATGATTAAATATTAAAGTATAGCTGCGTCATTAAAATTTTTAGGCAAAATTCGCAAATTTTCCCACGACTAAATCCATGCTACAATTTACTCAAATTAATTATTGATCATTTAATTAAGAAATCAAAATATTAACGATAGGTAATCTCCCGGGATGGATTCAGTCTAGCTTGTGTTGACAATATCCAGACAATAATATAGTCTTCAATTCATTATTTCTTTATAAATACTGAACCAGCGTTGGACTGATATTCACGATGTTGTAGTTTGCAAATTGGTTCTCAAAAGACGCCCAGGGACTTTATTAACACCTATTATTTTTATTTCATTTTCGCTGGTCTTCTCATTTTAATTTCATTATTCTTACTATTCATCAACTTACCCTTGTAACAATATCTTTGTTAATCCCGTAGGCCTATTTAAATCAGGAACAAGAACGTATGTTAAGTAAACACACAATCATACAGGTGCATAAATAACAGGCTAGACCAAGAGGTCGTCTTTCTGCCCCTTGTCTACCAGGCTAGACCAAGATGTCGTCTCTCTGCCTCCGCGCTACCAGGCTAGGCCAAGCTACCTACTCCATAAGAAGTCGTCTCCCTGCCTAGACCAGGCTAGACCAAGCGACCTATTCCATTAGAAGTCGTCTCCCTGCCTCCGTGCTACCAAGAGACACTCCAGTAGATGTCGTCTCCGTGCTACCAGACTAGACCAAGAGACACTTCAGTAGAAGTCGTCCCCCCGCCTTCATCCTACAAAACTAGACCAAGAGGCCCGCGCTTTAAGCAGACATCTGCCTGCCCCCGGGCTACAATTTACATATGTTTGTGAAATAGCTTAATTTATTATATTACATCACGCGTCATGCGTCGTCGTATCATGCATTGTGTTTTATTATATTATCAGACTATATTATGAGATTATCAGCTTATATTATCAGACTATATTATCAGATTATCAGACTATATTATCAGATTATCAGACTATATTATCAGATTATCAGCTTATATTATCAGACTATATTATGAGATTATCAGACTATATTATCAGCTTATATTACCAGACTATATTATGAGATTATCAGACTATATTATGAGATTATCAGCTTATATTATCAGATTATCAGCTTATATTATCAGACTATATTATGAGATTATCAGACTATATTATCAGCTTATATTATCAGACTATATTATCAGATTATCAGACTATATTATCAGATTATCAGACTATATTATCAGATTATCAGCTTATATTATCAGACTATATTATGAGATTATCAGACTATATTATCAGCTTATATTACCAGACTATATTATGAGATTATCAGACTATATTATGAGATTATCAGCTTATATTATCAGATTATCAGCTTATATTATCAGACTATATTATGAGATTATCAGACTATATTATCAGCTTATATTATCAGACTATATTATCAGATTATATTATCAGATTATATTATCAGCTTATATTGTATTCATAGAATTTATCAGACTGCATTGTGTTTATTAGTCATCGTCTCTCTTATTATTTATCGTCTCATCGTTGTGCTAAGAAAGTCAGTTTCCTTTAGAATGAAATATAAATTAACAAGCAAAGTAAATTATTTATAATATTTAAACGAAGGTTACTTAAGAATTACCTTATTATCCGAAGATAATCACTTAAGAATTGTGGCCTGTATGCGACACACACACACACACACAGAGGGGTGACGGCAATATAGATGTCTCACAACACGCTGTGGGATTGTTTGCGAATGGTTTTGGAGTGCCTGTGCCAACTCTACAACAGTTCGTGGTGGCACGGCTTGCGTTGTGGTGTGTTGTGTAGAAACCCCTGATTTGCGGTCCATTGCTGTCTGGCAAGTCGATAAGGTCGATGGCAGCGTAACCCAAAAGTTATAGTAGCTGTAGTCGGATGTGGCGATCTTGAGCAGCGGTTGTTACAGGTGGCGCTCCAGGTCGGGGTCGATCGGCAACTCTTCCAGTGGTGTGGAAGCGTTGTCTGAGGCGAGCAATGGTCGAGGGGTGGACATTAAAGTGTCTGGCGACGGCTACCTGTGAAGCCCCCTGTTCCAGCATGCCAATTGCTCTGTTCCTGTTTTCTTGTGTGGCATTTTTCCGAAGTGATGAATGTTGAAATTAATTTTGATCTGTGCAGGGAAAGCACGTGCAAAATGTGTGACATGGGACAGCTTAAAATCGTGAAAAAAGACAAGTGTTGCGTTTGCACGAACAAAGTTCATTACCGAGTGTTTCGAACCAAGAATTCCACAAAAAGAGACCCATCACACGTTTCACCCATGTGCCATTAGATAGGAAAGCCCAAGAAAATGTTTACCAGAAATATTTCACGAATTAAGCATTGCCTTTTTAATGGCTTTGAGTATGTAATACTGATAGCATTAACAAGAGAGAGAGAGAGAGGTGGGGTTCATTCGACACAAACTAGGTCATTTCGGGACTATTTCATTAATTCGCTTACGCGTAACGGTCTTTAGCAGTGGGAGGAAACTGGAGGACCGGAGAAAACCCACGAGGTTGGACAGGCGACCCTTGTCACGTACATCCGGGGAGCATTAACAAGAGATGACATGAAATTGGATTTAACCTCGTACTATTTTCCACTACAGGGCTAATGAAGACGAGCATACGCCACGTGGTGTTCTACGAGGGAGTTATTGTCCTGGCAGCGGCTTTGTGGTGAAATCTTCACTGAATTCCAACTTCCAGGGGTTCTTTTACGTGCACACCAATCAGTACATGACTGAACGTCGGTTTCGCTTCCCACCTGCACGACTAGATGCCTTTGCCTTGTCAGGCCCTCCGCCCTGCACCACTGGTTAGAGGACACCAGGATGGACACTCCCTAGGGACATTCTTGGTCTACAACGGGATCGAACCGGGGATACGTGGTTATTGAGCTAGCCCCGAAACCACTGGACCATCCAGGAGACAGAATAAACCTTGTCAATTCAATAAAAAAATCACTTAGCTTTCTAGGGAAATGTCTTTCTTGTATACCTTACATATTTTCTTTTTTTTCAGGTTGCTTCGAATACGAAACTAAAGGTTCTGGCTGTTTTAATGATTGTTCTCATTTGCATCGTTATAGCGATTAATAGGACGAAAACAAAAATCAAATTGCCTGAGTATACATCACGTTTTGTATTCGGTGCTTCAATAATTCAAGAATGGCCAGGACTTAAAGATTATGAAGTTAGCTATGGAAATAAAACCCTTCCCAAGATTCATCTGATTTGTACACTGCCTCTATTGACGTATAAAGATGCGAGCTCTTTCAGTTATAAGGGAGCTAACTCTCTTCAAATTCAAGAACGGATGTCAGAATTGTTAACCGGGCTACAGAGAAATCTGAACCATAAATGCGTGACTCGAGTTTACTTCCTGTATAACGAACAAGACGTTGTGGACTTTGTCAAAACCAACATCCAAACAAATAAAAAAAAATTATCTTTTAATCTTGTTAGCGATCCGCGTAATCAGACGGTCATCTTTGATTTCGCTTATGATAATCTGCGGGGAAAACTAGTGTCGTATACCTCAGCGGATGTTTATTTTGGAGAAGGATTTGAATTAATCAATAAAAAACGAATGGCTTCGAACAAGTTAATGTATATCCTCAGTCGACATGGCCGACTAGAAAAATACTGTGACATGCGCACAGATTCAAAAAGCAATACATGTAATGCTTATAAGAGCTCCCATGATACGTATATTTTTGTACCAACAGGAGAATTTCCTACGGCGATACGGAAACACCTAGCGGTAATGGCGCAACATTATGGCGTCGAAAACATGTCGATCTGGGCTTTTAGAAATCTTGGCAAGTTTACAGTGATAAACCCATGTAAGGTTTTAAAAACTTACCATTTACATTGTTCTCAGCTCCGTGATGCCCAGAGAAGAATGATAAATAGTTGGGACATGGGATTGGCATTGGCATATCCCACCGATGATTTATACAGTAACAGCTCGGTTATCTCCCCTTCTTTTAACATTTACGCCATTTTACTGTTTCTTAATTACTTTATGAATAAATATTAAAGTATGGCTGCGTCATTTACATTTTAGGCAAAATTCGCAAATTTTCCACGACTAAATCCATGCTACAATTTACTCAAATTAATTATTTATCATTTAATTTAGAAATCAAAATATTAACGGTAGGCAATCTCCCGGCTTGGATTCCATCTAGTTTGTGTTGACAATATCCAGACAATAATATAGTCTTCAATTCATTATTTCTTTATAAATACTGAACCAGCGTTGGACTGATATTCACGATGTTGTAGTTTGCAAATTGGTTCACAAAAGACGCCCAGGGACTTTAATAACACTTATTATTTTTATTTCATTTTCGCTGGTCTTCTCATTTTATTTTCACTATTCTTACTATTCATCCACTTACCCTTGTAACAATATCTTTGTTAATCCTGTAGGCCTATTTAAATCAGGAACAAGAACGTATGTAAAGTACCAGGCTAGACCAAAGGACACTCCACTCCATTAGAAGTCGTCTCCTTGCATCCATGCTAGACCAAGATACCCACTCTTTAAGCCGACATCAGATTATTTCAACTTACTTATCCTATGGAAATACAGCTATATAGGAGATATTTTAAAATTGATAGGCACTGCATGTTTCAACATCTTAGATTTGACCACAATTTGGCACTTGAAACTACGTTAACAGAGAAAAACTGTGTGGTTTTCGATGAAAGTGTTAAAAAGTCTAATATTGCATCATGATTACTGTTTTAAAGTATTTTCGTGTTGTGTTTGATTTATGTTGAATTTATCTCATCTTTTTACAAAATGCATTGATGTTCAAAAATAGAAATGTTCTGTTTAATTCAAAATTCATGTGCTTTTAAATTTCTGTCTGAAATTCCGCAGTTTTCTGATGTATTATAGTGTTTGCAGAATGCCAAACAGCTCATCTGAAAATGCATAGATTTTCGTAATCTTTGGCCAAGGCATTGTATATATGTTTGTTTATTAGATAACAACAGATTTGTTTAAACTGCAGCAGAAACATGTGAGGTATATAGGACTAAGACTAGTAATTATTTCCCCTTATTTCATGAGGTCCGCAACCCTAACCCTTTTTTAAAACCCCTAAAAAATATAAACAAACACCATGTGGCCATGCTGTCTACACAACTCGTTTGCTGATTGGCCCAGACACCGCGTGCCAAGCGTTATGGTTTCGTGGCTGGCTGAGTGGGCGATAAATATTTGGTTTAGGCGATAATGTTTTTGGGAACCTACATGCGATTCACTCTGATAAGTGGCAGAAAAAATTAACAAAATATTACTGACAGGCTAACTAGACACAATTTTTATGGAACACATTTACTTGATGATTCTCTATGTGTTTTATTTTAGCAATGTAAACCATATTGGGATATGTATAGGTTTTATACAGATGGAATCTTAACTAATCCTAATAATTGTTGTAAATAAATAGGAGTTTGGGCCTACTATGTAAATTTTTTTGTGGGGGAGGGGGTCCAAGTATATTCAGACCCTCCCCCAGAAAAACAATTGGGAGGGTCCCCCCATGTGTGACGCCCATGGTAGTGAGAGTGCGAGGTATAATGTAGTGCGAGTTATTAATAGACAATTTTTCCCTTAATTTTTCTCCCTCCTCTTCCTGCATTTTTGGGTTGACTTTTTGGTGTAGAATTGGAGAAAAGGGATCAAATTTACAATTTCATAGCTGTTTTGGGTAATACTGATGATATTACAGTGGAGGGATAGGGGGTGTAAAGTGTCTTTCTGCAGAACAATCATTGTGTCGGAAGTGAGATTTTCACACCAGTCAACTTCAAATCCCCGTAGCAAAAAATCTAAACGGTCAACCGACTACAAAGTCATGATGAGGATATTGCCAAACGTGGTCCCCATTGGAACCAACGCATGTTGAGCAAAAAGCTGCAGCCTGTGATGTTACAGCCATTTAATAGTGAAGTCAATGGGCAAATAATTACTAGTCTGAGAGCTGAGTCCGGCAGGCTTGGAAGGAAGATATTTTCTCGGCCACTTATTTC